CCCGCACAGTGTGGTCTCTAGATCAGTATGGACGGCAGACGCAGGGTTCCTCCCTAATGTCTGCTGCCGCCAGTCTCTGGTCGAGAAGCAGCACCCCGAGGTGTGCCAGAGCCCCAGCTCAGAGTCCACCAGGCCCAGGCTGACACTCCTGCCCCGCCACGGCCAAGCGACGTCACCCCTCTGAGCTGCAGTTTCCACAAAGCGGTGTCAATCATAACCACTCAGAGCCTTGGGGGCTGGCCTTCATGGCATTTGTCAACTTCCTGCACTGGGTCTTGTGTCCAGAGATATTCAGCACACGTGCCCCGCACGGCTAGCCTCCAGCGCCTATCGTTTGGAGATGGACAGGCCCGGTGTGACACTAGATGGGGCCCACGGCGTATCGCCTGACTGCTGGACTCTGTGCAGGGTCCGCTGACCACTTCCTGCCGCGCTCTAAGTCTGCCCTGCCCCTTCTGCAGTTTTCCAAAAGACAGGAGGCAACTCCTAGGAGCAGTTTCGTGCAGGAAGGAATTTTTTTTTTAATTTCCTCCCATTTATTTTTGTCTTCAGAGCTTTAATAGGTAAACCTGCCCTGGGTGCTTTTTGACATTGGCTGGCCGGAGGTGCTCGGCGTCTGCCGAGTTGGCCAGGCACTGCCCATTGCCCTGGCTCTCACTCCCTCAGTGGGCATGTGCTCATGCTGAGTCAGGGAGGGGCCCCTTCATCCCTCTTAGGAAGAGGGGCGCTCCGCCCCCAGAGAGGAAAGAACTCCCAGGGTCTAAACTGCGCCACACGCCATTTTCACATAAACTGCAGCAAAGGGAAGGTGCTGGGCTGCCCCAGCTGGGGACACCTCTGTCAACCCCTCCCTCCCTCTCTCACAGTGGGTGTCCGCCATTGATCATGGTCATGGGCACAGTGATCAGCTCAGGAAGAAGTGTCAGTTTGGGGTAGATAGAGTGCCCGCCCGCCCCTGCCCCAATCAGAGCCCACAGCTTCTGCAGACCAGCCCTGGACACATCAGGACGGCCTGGCGCGGCAGCCACGGTCCAGTGGGGAGATTGTACATCCCTCCGCTTCCCCGGCCAGACCTCCGGAAGCTTCCCCCATCGGGTCCCCACTCCTCCTCGTGTCCAGTGTTCCCTCTTGTCACGGAGGCCCAGGATAAAGCTCTGCTTCCTGCTCACACATGTTGCATGAACGCGCCTGGGTAATTCTGAGCCGCTGCATGGCTCTCCTGGACAGACGCTGTCACCGCGAGGCTTTGGGGTCCAAATGGCCCCTCTTTATCTCTGGGCCTGATTTGAGGTTCCCCCTCGGGAGGTAGACACGGGGGGTGGGAGAAGCGTAATAAAGTTGCCCGTGCAGATTGACGGACAGAGAGGCCTCGCATGGACAGCCGGCGTCCACTGTGTGCCCTCATCTCCTCCTGCATGCCCTCTGTGCTGCCTGTGTATGTGTGTGTGTGTGTGTGTTGCATGCACCTCGCTTCCTCATACCTGGCTGGCTGTGCAAAATGTAGGCCTGCGTTGGCATGCTCCTGTCACGTACCTTTGTTCACGCAGTCAGCTGGCCTCTGTTCTCTCACAGGTTCTACTCACATTCTCACTCCCACCAAATTTCTCATGGACCTGAGACACCCCGACTTCAGGGAGTCCGCTAGGGTATCTTTTGAGGATCAGGCTCCAACAATGGAGTGAGAGCCAAAGACACAAAGTAAAAAGTAAAAGCAGCTTTGTCACAGAAAAGAAACCCTTCCGCTCTGAAGGGTTTTCTTTGATTACTCGGTCACTCTCTCCTATGATTTCCTCCCCGCCTTTTTAGTTTATTTATTGTTTGATTTCCTTTCTAATGAGACAATGCTTGCGGTTCTTCACGCCGATTGAAAATGTGTCCGGTGCTGCCTTAGCAAACCCCGCCTGAACTCTCTGGGCTCCCTCCGACTTGCCGGCTCCCTCGTGCCTTGGGTTCCCCGCTGCTCGGCCAGACAGCTGCAACCCACTGGGTTCCACGGGGAAAACAGTAACCCCTGAGCACAGTCCTCGGGAGGACGTCCCGGGCCCATGCCCACCAGCCTTGGATTCGCGGGCACCGCATAGGGCACATGTAGCATCCTGGCCGTGGTGGTGTGGGACCTTGAGACCAGTGGGTGTTCAGGGATGGTCAAGTCCAAGAAGACAGAAATCCATAGATGCCCATTGGCGCCTGGTTGGGAAGTCAGCTGGCAGGGGGCTGCCTCTGCCGCTCAGTCAGGGCCTAAGCGGAGACTTGCAGTCAGTGGTAGTGCAGGTGTGAGGATGCCTGTCTTGGGACGGTGTCGAAGGTGTGACTGGGTCACAAGCCACCATGTCGTTGGGGAAGAACCCTGCACATGTTTGGCTGTTAGCCCTCGGAATGGCTTGGATTGTAACCCTCCTGTGAGGGCCTTCCAAGAGTTACCGCCATCGATTCCCACGGCAGTCTCTCGGTGAGAGCTAGAGCCTGTCAGGAGAAGTCTGCTCTCAACGCGCCACCCAGTTTGTGCATCTCCCCGGTGCTCGGTACCAGGAGCCCGCTGCCTGTCCCTTCTTTCCTCGTTCCTTCTCTCTTTCCATCCTATGTGTTGGGAACCTCCTCTCGGGGGTTAAACGGCGGCTGGTGCTGAACAAGGTCACCACAACACGAGGAGCCCCTGGGCCCTTTCGCCCGGGCCAGGCCAGGCCGTGGCCTGCTGAGTCACACAGAGGGACACTTGGGCTTTGAGCCAGGAAGCCTGGGCTTGCCTCCAGCTCGGCCACGGCCCCCAGTGTGACAGTAGGCCAGTGCCACCTCCCAGGCCACAGTGTCTGGAGGGCAGAGAGGCCAAGCTCTGCCAGCCTGTAATGCAGATGTTTGTAACACAGTAATGCAAACGTGTGGTGTGACTCAAACCATGGAGTCCCCCCCACCCACTCGCTTTCGCTTTCGGACGAGCCTCAGGGCAGTGGTCCTGCTGGTTTAAGTGAAGGGGGCTGGGCTTGTTCTAAAGAGAAGGCAGTGGAGGGGAGTCTGTTTCTCTCCTCTTCTCCCTCCTGGGCAGAGGTAAGGAAAAGCAAGTCATTGTCATCCAGGGGAGTGGGGCTGGGGGTGGCCTAGGCGAGGGCTCTCACCTGCCCTGGCTCCCCTCCCCCTAGACACCAAGGCGAGTGGGTGGTAGATAAGGAACAGTTGTTGGTAAAAGCATCCTTGAGAAGTTGTTCTTCAGCATCGTCTGCTTCTGAGTGCAGATGGCAGGTAGGCGGATGGCATTTGTACCCAGAAGTATTTTAAGGCTGCAAGAGCAGCCTGCGTTCAGGAGAAACGCTAACAATGGCAGGTCCCTGTCAGGACGGCAGGCCCTGTGCAGGCCGCCCGTGTGGGTTCATTCTAGAGCCCCAGCTTCGGAAGTCTGTCCCTGGCCGTGTTTTCCATTGTTCTGTACTCGATGGAGCGAGAGGGGGGCTGCACTGCCATCAGCAGGGACAGACCAGAGAGACTGGTGTACATGCGTGGGGTCTAAAATGGCCTGCTGGTAGTGTTGGACTTGCGAGGATCCAGTTAAGAAAAGGCAAGACAGCAAGCCCGTAAGGCCAGCGAGGTCAGGAAACAGGTGAGGTTCCAGGTCACCCAGGAAGAAGAGAGTGGGGAGAGATGGAGCCTAAACACCAGTCTCTGCGATGACTTCCCTTTTCACGGGCATCTTCCAGCTCGGCCCTGTGCTGTGCTGAGTGAGCCGTGCACGCACCTTCCCGAGCCGGCAGGGACAGTGGAAGTCCACGTGCTCACTGTACCCCCTTCCCCATCCCCCCCAGTTCATGATTCCTAGGAAGTAGAACCTTTGGATTGCATTTTCACTTCTCAGGGAGCTTGATAAGAAGCCAAAGAGACACCAAGCCTACGGCCACCCATAGAATCCCTGCAGGGTGAAGCAGGGTGCCACGTGGCTTCTCCAGCTCAGGGCACAAGTGTAGTTCCATGTGTCTTGTCAGCTGCAATGTCCAGAGAGTGAGCAGAGAGTGAGTGTGTCTCCCGCCTCCAGGGAGGAAGACAGGAGTTCCCAGAATCCTCAGAAGGCCATGCCCACACGGAGGCCTCATTGGCTATGACCTGATTGACAGGCTAGACTCTGAATCCTCTCCAATGGACAAACGATTATCTAACTACCACCGCCATTTCGCCGTCTTTGAGTTATGCCGTAGACCTTTAGAGAAGCAGACGCCTCATCCTCTCCGGGAACGGCTGGAGGGTTCAATCCACCACTGCCTGACCCACACGGCCACTGGGGCGCTCTGATTTATGTTGACCAGGTTTATCGTTAGAGACCCACCCAAGAGGCCGACACAGGCAGATGAAGGAGGAATCCAAGGCTGGAGTGTAACACCACACTCATCACCAGGAAGAAGCCCGTGTTGGTTTATGTTAAGCATTTTGCTTGATCCCAGACTGAGGTCAGGTTACATTTCGTTTTTTTTGGTGAAACTTGAATTTGCACGTGGAGCCTGCCCACTGTCTGGCTGTTCCAATTTAAGGGTCCACTGCACATCCCCGCCCAGGACCAGGAGGGAGTAGGGTGCCCCGAGTTGGGAGACCAGAGGCATACCTTTAAGACCTGGCTCTGTCACCAACCGCCGAGTAAACTTTGTCCCCTGTGGGCTTTGTGAACTGAGAGTGGGTCAGCTCCGTGGTCTGGGACCAGCTGACCCCCCGATTGTCTGGGCTGCTCTTAAATATATGTGCCCCTTGGGTTTTCTGAGTCAATCGATCTGTTTCAGCCAAGCTCTAGACTGGCTAGGCTGTAAAAACTTTTGATTGTAAGATCCTATAAATGAGTAGCCCTGGTGGCTTAGTGATTACACATTGGCCTGTGATCCACAGGGTCAGCAGTTTAAAACCACCAGTCACTCCGAGGGGAAAGATGAGGTTTTCTACGCCCATAAGCAGTTGCGCACTGAGAAACTCACAGGGGAGTTCCACTGCCCCATAGGGTTGCTTGAGCCGGCATCCACTGATGGCTTTGAGTGAGTGATCGAGGTAGGAAGGATTCTGCCTGCCAGAGGTTGCCACACCTTTGAGAGCGCGGCCACAGCCCTTCAGATAGGCGTCAGCCTGGTTTTTGATGACTGCTGTTGTGTCAGTCTGGGTAGACTAGAAAAACAAATTCATAGGCACACGTGTGTAGGAAAGAGCTTTATATACAAGAGCAATTGAACATTAAGAACGCATCCCAGCCAAGTCCATAAGTCTGATATTAGCCCATGTGTCTGATACCAATCTATAAAGTCCTCTTCAGACTCAGGAAGCACATGCAATGACGCCAAATGCAGGAAGATCACAGGCCAGTGGGGGGGGAAGCGTTGTAAGCATCAGTGCTGACAGGGGTCTCCACGTGGCTTCTCCAGCTCAGGGCACTAGCGTAGTTCCATGTGTCTTGTCAGCTGCAATGTCTCCCAGAGAATGAGCAGAAAGCAAGTGGGTCTCCCGCCTCCAGGGAGGAAGACAAGAGTTCCTACAATCCTCAGAAGGCCATGCCCGCACGGGGGCCTCAGTGGCTATGACCTGATTGACCGGCTAGACTCTGAATCCTCTCCAATGGACAAACGATTATCTAACTACCACCGCTGTTCCCATTTCGCTGTCTTTGAGTTATGCAGAACAGGATGAGCCCACTCCCCCCCACAGTAGCAGAGCTTCCTTGCTGCTCTGTGCTGGAGGCCCAGCCCCTACAGGCGCCAAAGGAAAACAGCTTCAGAAAGTGGATCTTTGTGCTTCTAACAATGAAAAAGCCTGGCCCTACTGCTGTTAGACTAGTAGATTATCTGACGGCAAGAGTTGGCTTCCAGGTGATCTGGATTCACACCGGCTGGCCATGTCATTTAACGAGAGCAGGTAAGCTGAGGCCCAGGAACTTGGAGGCCTTGCCGATTGTCCCCAACACTCTTTTCAGTCAAGACCGAGACCAGCCAGCGATCAGTGATCAGATGATAGAAAAGTCTAGCGCGTGGAGTCCCTCGCCTCCATTTAGCATCTAGGAGCTCTCTGAGGATGGGCACCTGACCGGAGGAAGCCCTTTTGGCATGGCATGTTGCCCGAGTCTACCTTCTGGCTTCCAGGAACCCAGGAGGGCAGGTGGGCGTGCAAAGTGGTTTTCCCCGCCCTTGAACTCGTTCTCGCAACCTCTAAGGGTGCTGTGCGTCCAGAGGCAGCTGTCCAGTGTGTGGGCGCTCCTGCAGGGCTGAGATGCGATTCGGAAGACCTGTCTTCTGGCAGTGGTGCCCTGTTCCCAGGTCTCTTCCAGTAGAGCACCCTTTGACCTCTTGTAGGTCTTGTAGGGCACTGGGTCACTAGCGGCCGGCTCGTGAGTGAGAAGGACGATGCCCGGGTGTGTCTGCAGTGGCTGGTCTCCCAGGAGAAGAGCCACCAAGTCAGCCTCTGGTGGACTTCGCCCAGCAGCCAAAGCAGCCACTGGGGGAAAGCTGAGTGCCTCTGGGGAGACGACTCCCTGCTGAGAGCCCCAGTCCCTTGATAAGGTGCCTCCTGGGAAGCAGCCAGGACGGGTTCCTCTCAGAGCAGGGGCCGGTGGCTGCGGCTTAGACGCAGAAAGCGGGGCTCTGGGCAGAGCCCCTCAGCCTAAGGAGGGCACAGCAAGTTTTCTGTCTCACCTGGACTGACCAGAAAAGTTAACGTACATGCCTCTGGTCCCACGCCCGCAGTCCCTCAGTCACGGGTCAGCTGAGCAAGTAGCGGTCAGAGGCATAGGGACCCTGGTGTTGGGATCGTACCAAACAAGTCGGCCAGAGCGTTCTTGTGCCCGCCCTGGGGTGGAAATCTGGCATCCGGCGGTCCTTGGCCCTCCCCAAGAAGGCCCGCTCCCTCACCCAGGATCGGGGAGGCACATTTTCAAGTACGGATCTCTTTTGTTCAGTTCGTCCCCCCCACCAGGAGCTTTCTTTGACGCGCATGCGAGCGGTCCTCATGCTCACACGCCACCGGTCACTGTTCTGTTTGACGGTCCATGTCCAGACCACACGGTCCATGCACCCTTTGTTTACTGCACTTCCTAGACGTCCCTCTCTTTCTCCTTATGAAAAAGGCCTTCATTTGTTTTCTTTGTTGTTGTTTTTTTAACCTTCTGTTTTTGCAGTAGAAATCTATCAAATTCCATTAGCTTAACTTTTTGCAAGCATTTGTGATCTCTTACAATGTGCGGTCTCTGCAAGGTAAGGCCTCAGGTACCCCCAACCCTCTCCCTATCTCACCTGAGGTCCCACCCACCACGGCACTTGCAGTCAGCAGCCACCCCAGGGCATGCTGCCTCCCCACGTCCTCCCTCCCGGGCACCATTCTCTCCACATACACACCCCTTAGCAGCCTCGGCCCCAGTCCCGAGCGTTTCTCCCACTAGATTTGTGGGGAATTCTCTCCCTGGCTTCACGTCAAGGTTCCAGGGAGGATTGGCAGTGGGACTGCCTTGTCACCTGGCTGATGGCACTGAGCCCTGCTCTTCCCTCTGTGCCTAAACTGGGGATGTGTGTGGTCCACCCACAATCCCTAAGTCTCCCCTTGGCCTCTCTCGGCCTCTCTGGACAGAGCGCCCAGGCCCCAGCCCCTTCGTCCACTAGACCTAGACCCGGGTGGGGGAGGCAGGGCTGCAGGTCTGGGATCTGGAAGCGACCAAAAGACGATTTGGACCGAGCACCCCCAAGCTCACTCTCTTTTCTGCCTCCCACAGGATCCACGCACATTCTCACTCCACAGAAACTGCTGGACACGCTGAAGAAACTGAACAAAACAGATGAAGAAATAAGCAGTTAAAAAAAATACTAAGCTGCCCCTCTGTGCAATGCAGCCTCCTCCCATCGCGCTCCACGGCCCCCTCGCACCCCTAACGTTACTGCTTCCCCCTCCCTCGCAGCTCTGCACGCCCGCACCGCCTTCTGGTGTTTGAGGATGCCCTCTTCTTGTTTGAAACGAAAGGAAATAATGCGTTGTGTTTCTTAAAAAGAGTATCTTCTGTATGTATCTCAGACAGAGAAATTTGTGTGCAAGTGAGGCGCTGCCGGAGTGGTTTGGGAACTCCGTTTGGAATGAGTGGATGCCTCCTCCTTATCACGCGTGACTCTGGCCCCTGGTCCATCGCCCTCTCCGACAGGCGTAACTGCTGGAGTGGAGTGGTAGACCTCCGGGTGTTGTGAAAACCTTCTCTGGGGTTGTTCCTGTCGCTGCTGGGAATAGAGGTGTCTGTGTTCTGGGAGTATTTCAAATGAGCGTTCACCTGTTATCTTCCTCCTGTCCCTGCCCCTCGGCGCCTGCTGTCACTCAGATAAGCTCAGTGATGTCTTGGGAGGTTAGAGGTGGAAGAGAGCTTTGACCTTTCACAGGGACTCGTGTTATGGGTGGTGTGGCCGAGCACGGGTGCTGGGTGTCAGGTCACGCACTCTCCCTGGCCCGTGGCCCTGCAGCAAGTCACCCTCGGATCCACTGGAGTCATGGTGCCCGAACAAGTGAAGCGGAACCTCCCAGCGTCAGTGAGTGGACTCCCGGCCGCGGCCTTACCTTAACAGGGCACCTTTTCAGAGTGGGGCAGCTGGCTACAGCTCCAGGGGCAGGGGACGACTGCAATAGAGTGGGCTCGGGAGGCCCCTGGGCAGAGGGCCCTTGCCTGTAGAAAGGAGTTCTCGCCCTGAGACCCCAAACCACCAGAAGGGTCCCTTGGATGTATTCAGTCACTCCCTACCCAGCAAGCAGCTCCTGTCAGATTATCCTCCGTTTAAGAAACTTTCTGTCACTTTATTTTGTGTCGTGTGGAGGTCCTATGTCCCTGGGCTTATCAGAGAAAAGGATCACTGTATGCTCTGTGTAAAAATTTAGCTCTGTAACACATAGCTCTCAAGCAAAATCTTAGAGACGCAAACGCAGGGTGCCCGCCTGGCTAACCTCCAGACGTAGCAGCTCTCCGGTAGTGAGCACACTAGTTCTGCTGCTGCTGCTGCGGTCGTGAACTATACCGACAGTGGACGTCACAAACAAATGTCCCCACCCGTCCCTCTCTGCCCTTGAACTCCGCAGACCGTGTGCAGATTACTGTCTCGTGACGTTGTTGCAAATGTGGTGTATGCTAGCTCAATCCCGACTTCCCCCTGAAGACACCCTGCCCCCTTAGATGCAGTGTGGTGTTCTCCCCACCACCACCACCACCACCACCACCACCTCCTTTTTGGCACTCACATTAGTTTTCAGGTGTCTTCTCCCCCGTAAGATACCTTATTTCCCCAGAACAGAACTGTAGGTTCCTGCACTGATTCCGTTTCTGACCTGTCACCTGCCTGTTTTGTTCCCTCCCAGTGCCCAAACGATGCTCATGCGTCAGGCCCTTGTTGGGTAGACATGTTGGTTTTCCTTTCTCTGTTATTTATATAAAAATAATTTAACAAAAGGATATTTAAGAAAAAGCTAGTTGTCTTGACACTTGTTTACCTTGAAACTCCGAATCTCAGTGTTGGGCAGTATTGAAGCACAAACGTGGATCATCTCTGTATAAAGCACTGGAGTCTAATAAACCTAACCCTCCGCCCTCCGCCGTGTCCAAGGTGGCTCCTGGTTCGGTTTGACTCGGGAGGGTGGGAGGGGAGAGGCCAGGGCCCACGGCAGAGGAGGTGGGCCACATCTGGCCCTGGCCCAGGACCCAGGTCGCCGTGACTTGCATTAGGGTCACCCAAAAGAAGCCACCTCTGCTGTTGAGTTGGTTACAACTCATGGCGAACCTATTGAACTGCTCCCTAGGCTGTCCCAGGCTGTAAACCTGTACAGGAGCAAACTGCCTTACCTTTCTGCTGCAGGTGGGTTTGAACCACCCATCTTTTAGCTAGCAGCCTAATCCACTTCACCACTGTTAGGCCTGGTTGTCTAGACAAACGGCACTTGTCTATGTACGAGAAAGTACTTTTTATTAAGCAGCTTTACATCAGGATGGCAACCCAGCCCAGGCCATAGGTCCAATGCTAGCCAGGCCCTCTTCCGACTCACAGAGCTACAGGCTGATGGCACGAAACGGGGCATTGGATGGCTGGTCAGAGTCTCATGGCTGGACAGCCTCGTCTCTTTCCCTCGCATCAGTCTGTGGGTTAGAACTGCTGACCTTTGGGCTAGCAGCCCAGCACAGCCCACAACATCACCAGGCTTCCCTCACGTTTGGGGACAGTCCACAAAGTTTGCCTTGTACCTCCAGCAGCCTGAGAAGTACCTGTACATGCAGCGGCTCTAGGTAAGCCCTGTGCTTCCTTACCTAGAAAGTCCGCCCCAGAGGCTGAGGGGGTTGAGCTCCGCTCAGACATGTGGTGGCAGTGCATTTCGGTCATGCCATCAGGCCGCCATCAGTGGGAGCTGGTGGTGACTATTCGAGAACTGGAGAAATGAGGGAAATTGGTCCAGCTTGGGGAGTGGGCCTTCCTCTAGGAAAGACACACTGGAAACCTACGAGAATCATGTGCACAGGGCAGTGAGGGTCTGTGCGAACTGCTGTCTGCATGGTTGTCCTCGTTCAAACCCCAATCGCCTGCCTAGCATTAAGCACTAAAAACTGAAAGCCAGTTGGTGAATTTGAACCACCCCTGCCCTGCTACAGTCTCCTGAGACTTGTGTTTGAAGGAGGTAATGGTGGCAATGACTGTTTATTGAGCTCTTGCTCCATGCCAGACCCCTCCCGGGCCTTGTCTATAATGGGGGGTGGGGCATCCCCATTTTATAGATGAGGAAGCTGAGGCTCAGGGAAGTGCAGGGGCTCACAAAGGTCATTCCAGCTGGGGGGAACATCAAGACTGATTCCCTGCTATCAGAATGCCTTGAAATGGGATCAAGATCGGAATTTTAAAATTCTAAATGATTTCAAAGCACATGTTCATTCAGCGAACTCTTGTAAATTCTGCGTCCTCCTCCTTCGCAGGGTCCCTGTGTTCCTCCAGGCCCGGGGTCGTGTCCCAGAGCTCTCCCTGTGGCTTCTATCACTCACTGGCCCATCCAGCAGTGGACCCTTTAGCTCCTGCCAGGAGTCCCGGTGCCCCTGTGGAACACAGCACTGAGGAGTGGGTGGGTCAAGAAGTCCTCCCCAAAGTCTCCAGGGACGTTAAACTCCCGAAGGGACAGAGAGCTCTCAAACATGCCGCAGCATAGGGTGTTGACCTAGTAAGTACAAGATCCAAAGATCAAGGTGGAGCCATGAAATGGGGGAGAGGGGGGCTAAACTGCATACAAAGTTACAGTTATCGAGGCAATAAAAGGCTTCCCAAACCAAACCCAGCTTCCTGCTATCAAGTCGACTGACTCACAACACTAACTCACAACGACCCTTTGTAAGGAACAGAGAATGCCTTTGGGATCCTGAGGCTGTCAGTCTTTACCAGCGCAGAAAGCCTCTTCCTCCCGGAGGGCAGCTGGTGGGATCCAAGGCTGACCTTGCTGTCTGGTCCACTCTGTAACCACAGTCATGTACAGACGGACAAATGCTCTAATGGAATAGGATCAAAAATCCAGAAATAATGTCTCAAAATTACAGTCAACTGATGGTAAAACCGACAAGTCAACTAACTGAAGAAGGACTAGTTTTTCCGATACACAGGCCACACAACCACTCCATGGGTTGATGCAAACTAATGGTGTTTGAGTCGTACCCTACAGCATATACAAAAATTAACTCAACATGGATCAAAGATCCAAATGTGAAAGAGTGCAACATACAACTCTCAGAAGAAGAGATGGGTGTACACCTGCATGGCCTTGAGTCAGACCGCTGTTTGTTTATTCGGTAGAACAACAAAAGCACAATAGGCTAGAGGACACTGGACATCGTCGCACGGAAAAATGCCGGTGCTTCAAATGATACCATAAAGACTGTTCGAAGGTAGCCCATCAAATGGGAGGGAATGTAGGCGGTTTTGGAATGTATGATGAGGAATTTTTATCTAGAATATGTTTAAAACAAAAAAAACAAGGAGCAATGGAAACAGGAAACAAGGAAGAGGTGGGAAGAGCGCTGGTGCATTGTGGGATCACAACCCGTGTCAAGAAATCAAAAGCGTGGAAACTAACTTGCTCTGTAAACTTTCTCTTTATACACTTTAACCCAGACCACAGTAACAAGTAAAGGGGGCTGGGAGGAACTTGAAAACACACAGGGAGCAGTCGCCATCAACTCAATTTCAACTCAGGACTGAGTAGAATTGCCCCACAGGGTTTCCACGGCTGTGGATTTTCACTGATGCAGACTGCCTCAGCTTTCTCCTTCAGCGCATCTGGTGGGTTCAAACCGCTGACCTTTCAGTTAGCAGGCGAGCATTTAACCACGGCACCACCCTCACTTGAAGAACACCCTCACAAGAACACTTGCAACAAAAAATGAATTTTTAAATGGACCAAACACAAATAGGCATTTTCTCCAAAGAACATATACAATTGGTAAATAAGCAAATAAAAACCCATCACTAGCCATCGGGGAAATGACACATCAAGAGCTGTTTATCTCTTAGCTCTGCCACCTGATTAACCCCACATGTTCCTATTGACCAGGTTAGCACAGTACACTTAACTATCACATTAACATTGCAAAACAAAATGTGTATAAATGGCTGAACGGAAAACGAGTTTGCTCTGTAAACTTTCATCACCCAAACCATTGTTAAAAACAAGACAAAAAACCACCTGGCATGTGCTGCCATTCCATGAATTCAGTAAGAGGCGCCAAATCGGTAGAAATTAATAGTGAAACAACAAAAAAAAGAAATTCCCTGCCGTTTGACCCCTGATCCAGATGAATACCCCTGCCCGGACTAAATTGCCGCAAACAATGTCTTCTCTCATTGGTGGGAAACTACTCTAATTTAGTCTTATGTGTACTTTTAAATGATTTTTTAAATTGTTTTTGTTTTTTAAAATGTGTATTAGTCTAGGTACTTTGGAGAAACAAATCCACAGCAACTCATGTATAAGAGGAAGTTTTATGCAAAGAAAATGTGCATCACGAAAACATCCCAACCCAATGCTGCCCAAGCCCACAAGTCCAACATTAACCCATTA